CACCGTGTCAGCCAGGATGGTCTCAATCTCCTGACCTTGTGATCTGCCTGCTTTGGCCTCCCAAAATGCTGGGATTACAGGCTTGAGGCACCACTCAGCCAAATTAATGCCATTCTTGCATGTATAAGGTGGTATCTCATGGTGAACCCCACATTTATTTAGCAAACATTTATTAGGCAGTTATTATGTGTCAGGCTCTCCTAGGCCTCAGTGAGTGAAACATCAAAGATTCCACAAGGGGACTCAAAAAACAGGTAAATTCAGGCTACTATAATAAGTGCAGGAAAACTGCTTCCAGGAGGATGTAATGTCTAAACAGAGAACTGGATGAGGAACACAGTTAATCCAGGTGAATGGCAGGAGAAATCTTTTAGGGAATCAGTATCACAAACAAAGGCTCAGAAGACAGAGCACACAGGAAGTCTGGGGGAACTGCCAGCAGTTCAGGGTGGAGATTAGAGAGAAAGGAGCGCAGGGGCCAAAAGTAAGCTTGGAGCAGTGAGCAGATTCAATGACTAAGGCTTGTGGGGTTGGGGAGAACCTTGGCTTTTATCCGAGGACAATGTGCAACATTGGCAGCACTGAAGTCAGGAAGAACCTTGATCAGACCTGCATTCCAGAAGAATCACTCTGGGTTAAGTGTGAAGAATGAACTGAGAGATGCATGGAGACTGGATACATGGAGAAGAAGAGGTTCGAGGAAACCCTGGCAGGAACTGTAGGAAGAATATTAGGATGGAGGAAAGGGTAGAAAGGACCCTGAGAGATCTGAGTGATCAAGATCCACTGTTTCACACATGGAAAATGAAGTGGAAAAGGAGAAAGTTCCCCATGTGAACAGCACCCCATCTGGAAAAATGACATAAAACAAGCGAATTTGACCCATGACATAAGAGGTGCTTGGGCTCACATGGTATTGAGTGATCAGGGAGGAGTTTAGTTGAGTTCGCCTCTACAGATAGGTATTGAGTGCCAGGTATGCTGTCACAGGGACATAAGGAAATCAAAGGTATCTGCCTTATATCTTTGTGACCTACATGTCTGGTCCTGCTTAAGAACTATGCCAATCCCTGACTTCCCAGGGCCCTGACTAATTTTGTCTTGTGTCCATGTGGGAAGGGAGCTGAGGCTTGGCAAGAGGATCTTAGCCCATATGGTCCAAAAAATAGTAGAAAGATTTCTTTAGAAGACACAAATTCCCTAATTAAATTGACTAATTTATCCATACAAGAGAAATAAAATCACTAAAAAATAAACTGAGTGAAGGAAAATAAATCAACGAAGTATAATTACCAGAAGTTTGTGGGATTCTGCATGAAAACAAGCTTGAAGAAACAGTGAAAGCAGAAGATTTGCCTAATAACAGTATGACACTCGAATGAAAAAAAAAAAAACAAAACATAGGTTTAGTGGTGTTGCTTCTTTACAGATGCAGGAGGTTTGAAAACTAATAGAGAAAGATATTTGGAGAGAACGCCATCTTAGCTTTCACACAGAATGCAAGACCAGCCTTTCCAGTGGGCATTTCTTGATTTTTGTTTCCAGGGCTTTGATTTCATAAACACAGCTCAGCTCTGCAGATCATCTGGCCCAGTCCGGGACCCAGGTTTGTAATGATCTTGTTCAGTCATGGTCCAGCCTGTGTGTAGAGACCCTAAGATGATGCCTGGTGATCCTGTCTTGTGGCATCTCACTCAGCTGAGAACCGGTGGGACCTAAACTTGCTTCTAAGCAACAGAATGTGGCAAAAATGATGCCACTTCTGTGATGAGGTCATAACAGCCCCACTCCCGTATTACTAGATGACTCTGTCTTCTGCCTTCTTTGTTTGCAAGTTTTGATGAAGCAGAAAGGCCTGTGTGGCAAGGAACTGAAGTCAGCCTCTGGCCACCAGCCAGTAAGGAACTGAGGCTGTCAGTCTAACAGGCATGGAGGAATGAATCCTGCCAACAATTGCTGGGGCTTGGAAGTGGATCCTTCCCCAGTTCAGCCTCCAGATAAGACCCAGCCATGGCATTCTGATGAAAATCATGTGAGAAAGCTGCATAGCTGTGTCTGGATTCCTGGCCTATAGAAATGTGGGATAATACATACGTGTTGTTGTAAGCTGCTAAGTTTGTGGCAATTTCTTACATAGAAATAGATAGCTGAAAACACTTCCCACAGCTTTCATTGAGTTAAGTGACCCTTGGGGCCAGTTAGAACTTCTCTCATCCCCTTCCCTGTGGCAGCCCTTATCTTTCTCCTAGGTTGACATCCCGCTTTCTCTTTACCAGTGTAAATGTAAAGTTCTCTTACTATCTCCATTGCTGTCCTCTCACACCATCCAGGAGGCCCCACTAGGGAGTGGCAGACAGAGAGGAGGAAGTGCTGTGGTCTGGGGTGTGGGTAGACTCCTCCTCATGGTTCAACCTTGAGTGCAGGTATTACCAGTTGGAAGAAGAGAGGTCAGGAATCATCAGGGATTGGAAGGAGATGAGTGAACACCCCACTGTTCTCAGGCCCATGCAGGCTGTGAAATAAAACAGTGATGAATAGACTCTACATGGCCCCTGCTGGTCTTTACCCTTCAGCATTCTAGATAGTGCACCTCATATGCCATGATGCAAACACCACTGACTCCCTCCATGACAGATATAAATCTCCCTTTCCCCCGCATCCAGCAAGCACATTCCATCAGCCTATGGGTCACTTCAACCCCATGACTCCCCCGTCGGGACTGTGACAAATGCAATAGACTCTGGTCCAGTCTCTGTGCCCGGAGAAGAAAGGGAAGCTGGTCAGAGCCCACAGGCGGTGACCCACAGGGAGCCAGTAGATGGGTATGAGGGTGAGTGTGAAAGAGCGGTCACTTGGGCTCAGCAGTCAGACTGTCTCCTTAGAGATATGAGTCACCCCATTGAGAGTTACTAAACTTCCTAGTGACCTCAGTTTCCTTGTCCGAAAATGGGGCTGATAGCTGTCTCTAGGTCATAGGGCTCTTGTGAGGTTTAAATGATTTAATTCATGTAAATCCCTTAGGAACGTGACTGACACTTTTTTAAAGGCACAATGTGGGACCCATCCATTTATGTCCTGTTTCCTTATTCCAAGTGTGATGAAACCAGCTCTCCCCAACACTTCTCCTGATCCCCCTTCCGTGCCTGCAGGTGGAGAGCTGTTCTGTCCCTTACAACCTACAGTGTAGGGAGCAACCAGGTAAAGGCCAGGTGGTGCCAAGTATGAGGAAGTCACAGAGTAACACACACACACATACATACATACACATACCTGCTTATATACATAAATATGTACAGATACATACATATACGCACTTATAAACACACACTTACCCACAGATGCCCATACCTGTTTATACATCCACATGTGCACAGATAGACACACGCACATTACACACTTCCAATTCATCAATTCAGTTTGGGGCCTGGGTAATTCCAATTCAATCTCTTTTAAGAAATTTAAGAATCTGAAACAGAAAGACCTGAGAATTTTTGTCCCACAAGAGACAGACCCACTTCCCAGGCACTGTGGGACTTTCTGAGACCCATGTGGCCCTGCTCCTGGAAGCTCATGGAGAAGCGGGAAAACCTGACTTTAGATCAAGATTCTGGAGCCCAAAGGCAGCCCCAGGAACTGGCCTTCCCTGGGTACCGGGCCTCCGGGAGTCCAGCAGGTCCCCTTCCTCCTATCTCACCGACAACGTCTTAGCCTGTCTTCGACAGCCAGGGGCCCCTCCCAGGCTTTGCTGCACAGCAGGAGTCTCCACGGGGCTCCAGAAGGAACAGGAACAGAGTTTAACTCAACCCCCTCGGGTGAGGCACCCTGAGGTCCAGTTTTTTGGTTCTAACATTGGTGATATCACTTTTCAGTCTTAAAATGTCTGTTTCTTTTCTGATTTGCAAAAAGATTTATAACTTTTGATACATCTGCTACGTTCTATTAGAACCTAGCAGTCCTGCGTAGTACTTTCATCCACTGTGTCTCTGCTGATTC